AGTAAGTAGGTGTCAAATGTCGCGTCCTTTTCCATCACTGGAAAACTTCGGCTGCGCCCACGGGATAAGAGTGGCGTCCCTGTGTTCTAGGGCCCCGAGGTTTCTGACCCGGTTGCTTCTGGAGCCTTGCCATCTCCATCTGCGGACGTTGCCGCTTCCACGATCGTTGCTTCCCTCTGCACTGCCCTCCCGTTTCTCTGCCTGGCGTTCCTCTGCCAGCCGCTACTTGGCGTTCCATGAACCGCAGGTATGCCTCCAAATCTGTCTCCATGAGGCGTTTCAAGGCCTCCTGCATCTGAGGAGAGTCTCTGCTGGGTTCCAGGCACCACGGTGTTAGCGCACTCAGGCGGTGGTGTGACGTTAACCTTTGGTGATCCTCCAGTGTCAGTCTCTGTATGCCCATCCTGTGAGGCCGTCTCTGAGCCACTGGCAATGTGGGTAACGGGAACCCCTCCATGTTCATGTTCCCCCGAGTTCTGATTTGCTCGGATATTCATACTCCACTAGATCACTAATCAAATCTTCACAAGTTTTGCGACCGACGTCCAATCCTCGTGAGGCACATTCAACTTTCAAATCACCTTTGCTCATTTTTCTCGTAATCTGCTTCACCAGGCATAATCGCAAGCAAAGATAGAAAAGTAGGAAAAGAAGGAGGGGTTGTTGCTATGTGTCTCCTCTATACACACATATATATAAAAATAAAATATGCACCGCTTGTTTCTAAGGACTGTTTCCCACAAAGGTTACAATCCTTCAGTGCAGAGCCAACTTTAATGCTGCACTGAAGCTCTTAATGCAATTATCCCACGTACGCTGCCACCAATATGTCACGACCCAGCGGTCGCCGCCACCCAAAGGCGATAATCGCACAGCGAGTAGCTAAAGTAATAGTCACGCCCATGGCGTCAGACCCCAGACCTTCTCACCAAACTCGTGACAGGAAGGGCTGGCCGATCCAAAACGCGGTGTGACGCGCGTAACAAGGCCCCACCCAGCTGCACCCTACACATGCGCGATTGCCCAGCTATTGGACTACAATCGGTGCCTGCAGCCTGAATGCGCTTGTTACTGGGTCGGGTTAGTTACGCAACTAACCCTCTACTGCCACCACCACTTTTTCGGAGACTGGGAAACTCCCGTTATCAAATATACACTATATTGATTGAAATTATTGATCTATATAGCACGGCCCGAGTGGACCTGTTATACAGAAATATGACAACCCGTAGCGTCTCTTCAAAGGCAGGGATTCGTGAATTGCAAGTAAGCGCTTAGAAACAGTTTAACACTTTCAGAAAGAAAGATTTATTACTAAAAGGGTCAAAACAGGTGCAATACAATATTTTACAAAGTGATGTCACAAAAATATATATATATATGTATATAAAGACACAGCAAAGAGATAATTAGGAAGAAGATTACAGGGTCGAGTTACTTGCCCATATGCCTGGGATTGCAGTCCAAGTTGTGAGCAGGGTGAGTTCTTTGATCTCCTCTTGTTACGATGTTACCTCGAGGAGATGATCTCTGAGTGTGTCAGTGTGACACAGACTAACTCACTTAACTCTCTTAAAGGTCCCTCTCAAAAGGGAAGGGGGGGCTCTGACTTGGGAGTGGTCATTGGGAAAATTCTACACTACACTAAAATTACCAGCTTCATATCCCGTGATATGAACCATTCAGTTGATCTGAGGAATGTTCAGTTCTTTTGATAAGATGTGGGGCTTACATAGCTTTGGGTGACCAAAGTGAAAACGTTCGTAGACAGCCTGTCTCCACTTCTCATGTCTTAGGTTGTTCCACCTCATCTGCCAGGAGATAAAGTCTGCCTCACAGGAATGCAAGGGGGGGATGTGAGGAATGATTCGAGGAAGATCTCAAATACAGCAAGGAACAGGGGAACTCCGCTTCCAGCTCTGAGGAGGATGAAGATCAGCCATGGAGTATATCTGAGGTGTATATCAGGGTGTGCTTCTTCCCCACATGAGAGCTGGGATGTCCAGCAACATTCATCTAGAAGACATTTCCCGCACTCAAGGCACTAATACACCTCCAGGGTTGTGTGGGACCCCTGATGTACAGGAAGACAGGACTTCAGTGAGGAACATTTCCCTCACTCAGGACAGGAAAGTGGCTTCTCCCCCGTGTGAGATCTCTGATGTCTGGAAAGATTGGACTTCACTGTAAAAAAAACATTTCCCACACTCAGGACAGGAATATGGCTTCTCCCCCGTGTGAGATCTCTGATGTGTAAAGATTGGATTTCTGTGAAAAACATTTCCCACACTCAGGACAAGCATATGGCTTCTCCCCCGTGTGAGACTTGATGTCGTGAAGATTAGACTTCTCTGAAAAAATTTCCCACACTCAGGACAGGAATATGGTTTCTCCCCCGTGTGAATCTCTGATGTGTGTAAAGACTGGACTTATCAGAAAAACATTTCCCGCACTCAGAACAGGAAAGTGGCTTCTCCCCTGTGTGAGTTCTCTGATGACTGTAAACATGGAACCTCATTGAAAAACATTTCCCGCACTCAGGACAGGCATATGGCTTCTCCCCCGTGTGAGATCTATGATGTCTGTAAAGACTGGACTTGTCTGAAAAACATTTCCCACACACTGCACAGGATGGCTTTTCCCCTGTGTGAGATCTCTGATGTCTGTAAAGATCAGACTTCTCTGTGAAACATTTTCTACACTTGACAGATATAAGGAAAGATCTTTGATGACTTCTGATTTTGCTAAAAACATTTCCCGCACTCAGGACAGGAAATGGCTTCTCCCCCTTGTGAGATCTCTGATGTCTGGAAAGATTGAGACTTCTGTGAAAAACATTTCCCGCACTCAGGACAGGAATGTGGCTTCTCTCCTGTGTGAGATCTTTTATGCTCATTAAGACGACATTTAAAAAACATTTCCCGCACTCAGGACAGGAATACGGCTTTCCCCCCTGTGTGAGATCTTTTATGCACATTTTTATAACAGAAACATTTCCCGCACTCAGTACAGGAGAAGCTCTTTCCCTGTTGGAAGGCCGGCCCGGTCCCGCACAGTCTGAGGTTCCTCAGGATACGAGGAATCCGATGGTCCATCTACACTGGGTGGTGCCGGATGGACATTGGAGGGAGCCGGGTTTTCTCCTGGACTATACTGTGTGATGTCCTCATCTTCTACTTTCACAGTCTGGAGACAAAGTGAGACAATCCTCGGAGGTTTTCCTCATCTCCCGGCCATGGACTAAAATACAAAGACAAAGAGGATTACTAGACAGGAGCTGATTGGTTCCCCCAAACCAGGACTCCGCCCACATCAGGCAGCTTGGTCTCTGAGGAGCTTACAATTCCACCCTCAAGGGAACTAGGAAATGGCTCCTCTGATCTCCTACCAGGTCATTTCTTTATTCATGGACCTTAGTCAGAGAGTGAGGAAACAACCAGAACTGTCTTTTATAGGAGGGACAGTGATGAGGGGATTATAGGACGAGGGTCCCCACCCCCTCTATCACTCATCGCCATCTTCCCAACACAAGAAGTACTGCACTTCCTTATTTAGTCCATGATTTAGTCATGAAGAACAGCGGGGCTGAGCCCCACCAGAGGTCAGAGAGTGAGGATGGGGGGAGAACAACCAAGATGAAGACTGGACTGATCCTGAAGACCACCATCATTGGGGTATTGACTCCTCCCTCATTATCACTTTCTGTTTAAGGGTCCAAAGTTGGAGGATGTTATCACATTATTATCACCATGTAAAAGTCTGTGCTCCAATCACATCATCCGATATAAAATGTCCAGCTGGGAGGAAATGGGTGGAAAATAATTAAGGCCTAAAGTGAAGGAAATGTGTATTTGCTCCCCTGCTGATGTTGAATGTTCGCCCCTCACACAGAAATGATCGGTCTAACAATTGGAATGTTCGGTGTAACACTGAGAGACAGAATACAACAAATACAACAAATTCAGCAGAAATGCGTCTAACAAATGATGACGGATCTGCATGTTCATGAGGGAAAGAAGGATTTGATCCCCTTCACAAAACATGACTTAGTACTTGGTGGCAAATCCCTTGTTGGCAATCACAGAGGTCAGACGTTTCCTGGAGTTGGCCCCCAGGTTCGCACACATCTCAGGAGGGATTTTGGCCCACTCCTCTTGGCAGATCCTCTCCAAGTCATTAAGGTTTGGTGGCTGACGTTTGACAACTCGAACTTTCAGCTCCCTCCACAGATTTTCAATCGGATGAAGGTCTGGAGACTGGCTAGGCCACTCCAGGGCCTTAATGTGCTTCTTCTTGAGCCGCTCCTTTGTTGCCTTGGCCATGTGTTTTGGGTCATTGTCATGCTGGAACACCCATCCACCACCCATTTTCAATGCCCTGGCTGAGGGAAGAAGGTTCTCACCCAAGATTAGACTGTACATTGCCCCATCCATCGTCCCTTTGATGCGGTGCAGTTGTCCTGTCCCCTTAGCAAAACCCCCCACCCAAGAATGTTTCCACCACCATGTTTCACAGTTGGGATGGTGTTCTTGGGGTCATAGGCAGCATTCCTCCTCCTCCAAACAATGAGTTGAGTTGATGCCAAAGAGCTGGATTTTGGTCTCCTCTGACCACAACACTTCCCACCAGTCCTCCTCTGCATCATTCAGATGTTCAGTGGCAGACTTCAGACGGGCCTGGACATGGGCTTTCTTGAGCAGAGGGACCTTGCGGGCACTGCAGGATTTCAGTCCTTGTCGGCGTAGTGTGTTACCAATTGTTTTCTTGGTGACTGTGGTCCCAGCTGCCTGGAGATCATTGACAAGATCCTCACACGTGTAGTTCTGGGATGATTCCTCACTGTTCTCATGATCATTGACACCCCACGAGGTGAGATCTTGCATGGCACCAGACCTAGGGAGACTGACACTTGTTTTGTGTTTCTTCCATTTGTGAATGATTGCACCAACTGTTGTCACCTTCTCACCAAGCTGCTTGGCCATAGTTTGGTAGCCCCCAGTCCAGCCTTGTGTAGGTCTACCATCTTGTCCCTGACATCCTTGGACAGCTCTTTGGTCTTTGCCATGGTGGAGAGTTTGGAATCTGATGGTTTGATTGCTCCTGTGGACAGGTGTCTTTATACAGGTAACACAATGAGATTAGCAGCACTCCCTTTAAGAGACTGCTTCTAATCTCAGCTTATTAGCTGTATGAAAGACACCTGGGAGCCAGAAATCCTGCTGAATGATAGGGGATCAAATCCTTCTTTCCCTCATGAACATGCAGATCAGTCATCATTTGTTAGACGCATTTCTGCTGAATTTGTTGTTGTATTCTGTCTCTCAGTGTTACACCGAACATTCCATTGTTAGACCGATCATTTCTGTGTGAGGGGCAAACATTCCATTGTTAGACCGATCATTTCTGTGTGAGGGGCGAACATTCCATTGTTAGACCGATCATTTCTGTGTGAGGGGCGAACATTCCATTGTTAGACCGATCATTTCTGTGTGAGGGGCGAACATTCACCATCAGCCGGGGAGCAAATACACATTTCCTTCACTGTATGTAATGTACAACTTATCATACGGGATACAAAAGTTAGGACTAAACAGTATTCGTTTTCTTCTATATTCATCTGGTGATCTAGCCAGTAAATCTGTTTTATAAAACTCTGCAGCAGAATGTATCAGTTCCAGGGATGAGGCAGACCATTTACCACTGACAGGGGGCTTACAATGATCAGCTTTTATTTATTCATGTAAAACTTTTATCCCAAAAGAAAAAAACTGTTTGATGAAACTGATTATGAAGTGTGAGCTGGAGTTTGGCTTCAATTAGTTACTGTTTTAAATCTGCTAATACATCTAACACTCCCCTCCCCCCAGACTGACCATGCTGCTGTCTCCACAGCGGGGGCGCTCTAATACAGAAGGTGTGTTACTGGCCAGATCACCAGGAGAAAACAGGGAAAAAAGCCAAAGAAAAGGAATGCAGCCGCCACCTCATCCTATGTCCAGTGATAGCAGTGACATCTACTGGCCACAGTGAGACATCACAAGACAACCTAAACTTAGGGAGAAACCAAGTGAAGAACTATACAATCAGCCTGAGCCAAGTACAGCCCAGCCACAAACTAAACCCACATAGTACCTCTATTCAGGACAAGGGGGCCACACTAATAAATAGTGTAAGGATCACATCAAATTGGTGTTTAGTAATCAGAGATCACTTACAGGGTTGTAACCCTCAGACATGGAATATGAACAAACATATCCCTCTACAGTGTGTACTTGTCTCACTCCAGAGCAATAAGAGCCATTCTGTCTGCTATCTCCTTCCTCTGCGATCAGCATGAATCACTTCTGACAAGTCTTCCTGACACCAAGAGAAAAAATGTGAAAGGGGAGAAGCTCCAGCACACAGCCTGTGATTGACAGCCTCAGCTCTGTTCCTGTGTGCTGTGTGTACCTTCCCTCCAATCACCTTTAGAGCTCACCTCACTGAACTCTGCAGAATGTGACTTTATCTCTCTGTCTCTCTTTTTTTCTGACTTCTCAGACAAGCTGTATACATTCTGGGCTTTGAACAGTTGTAGAGAAGAGATTGCTGCAGATAAAAAGGTGCAACATATGTAGGATTTGTTTTATCTCTGTGTATCACCTGAGGCCAGTCACTGCACTGAGTATATGGAGGGATTACAACCACTTTAAATGTCTACTGTAGACAAGTTGCAGAGATCCCACACCGCTGCCTCCCATCTCCTGAGACTGCACTCAGTGACTTGGGTCTGAGACACTACAGACATATCCCTCCACCCGGCACAGCCAGCAGACCACAGAGCAAGGAACCCTGGGAGAAATGTTCTGTCAGAGATCTTACTAGATCCGGGCATGGAGCAGAAGATCAATAGCACACACCCCAGGTGCCTAGGTCTAGTAACGTCTATGATGAAAATGAACATTTTGCTGCCAGCTGAACCCCAGAACCTCCATAATCCAGTCTAGATACATAAATTGTGTCTGCAGCACAGAGAAGGAAGATTATCCGAGAGAAATCCAGGAATACAGGACGGGGAACACAGCTCAGGAAAGTGACCAGGGGATTACAGGCTGATATCACCCAGTCCCCGCCCTACTCTGGACCAATCAGTGAGCAGTATGGGGTGGAGGAATGGATTTAGTGTTCATGACCCACCTGTGCTGATCTCTGTAGGAGTGTCCTCCTCTATAAATGTCCCCGTTATTCCATCCTCCTCCATAGACTGCTGATCATCCCTCACATACGCCTCTTCTTCTTCAACCTCAAATTCTCTCAGGTTTCCACTCTGAATATATAATAAAAATGACATCAATGGTAACAATGCAGATAATGTACAGATCCTAATGATACTATCAGTGATTGTTCCTCATCTACCTGATGATGGTGAGGGATGGTGTGACCTTCCTGTGTGGAATCCCGGGAATACAGAGGACGGGGACATCTCTCTGGTGGGTTCCCATGACTGGATCCATCTGTAGGAAAACACACACACTGACTGAACCATTGTTTCTATGTGTTTATCAGATGATGGGGGATCTAGGTGGATCCTCCGTACTGCTCTCTCCTTTACAATAAAGTCTCCTCTTACCCGGTGATGTGAGGGGCGGCTGATTGTCCATCATGACGTCCTTGTAGAGATCCTTGTGTCCTTCTAAATACTCCCACTCCTCCATGGAGAAATAGACAGTGACACCCTGACACCTTATAGGAACCTGACACACACAATGATACAGTCACCATCCAGACACATCCCTTGTCTGTTACTGGAGAATGTCCCAGAATTCCCGGCACCGCTCACCTCTCCTGTCAGCAGCTCCATCATCTTCTTGGTGACTTCTAGAATCTTCTGCATGTTGTGTCTCTCAGGGTTTAGGGAGTCACATGGAGGCACTGTGATGGTCATATGATCACCTGACTTCAGAAGAGGAAATCTCTGTATTGAGGAACAATAAGAATATCATGTTAGAATCCCAGAATCCTCCTCACCTCTCCGGTCAGGTCAGGTCTGTGATGTCATGTGTGATGTCATGTGACCTCCCAGAATCCTCCTCACCTCTCCGGTCAGGTCTGTGTG